ATGTTTCCCACATCACAAGCAATTTTATGTACTTTCAGTTCATAAAAGCAAGCTTCATTCAATCTGAAACTGTAATATTCAATAAAATTTTCCCTTGATATGAGTCAAAAATGTCCTAAATTATTTTTGGTCCCTATTTTACTGTCTTTGCTTCCAATTAAATGATCTGTGAATACTGGCAATTACACTACCTTCCTTTGCCAAATCACTGAAGTATCAGTAAAGGGTCATCATTTAAACAGCTACAAATTAATCACAAAAGCCAACCTTTAACACATCCGTACAGTGATTTTAATGTGGAATGGCCCCCTTATGCCTCTTAATTTTTCTTTTTGTGAATTACAGCTGTATTGCATCACAGGACATTAAACATGTTTCAGCTCATGGGAGTGAGTCAGTCATGTTTTTAGAAATTGAAAACAAATGTTATAATAGGATAAATGGTAATATTTGAAGCCATAACAGTTTCCTGGTAGGCATGCCTATTTAATAGATTGCTTAGGTTTTCAGCTTGTAAACGTAACAGTATCTTTCACTAGCTGAAATAATAGAATGTTTTTTTCTAAATTCTAAGTTTTACAGTAATACCAAAAGATGCAAACCAAAAGGACAAGAAAGTGAAATAATTTGTGAAATTATTCTCATTAGCTGAATTATCATCGTTAGGAGAAAGTAGATAGGAATTTTTTTTTTTTTTTTTTTTTTATGTTCCAGTGTCATATAAGTGAGTATTCAAACTGCATGGCTTCCCAGCAGTGTATCAGTACCATATTAAGAAGTCCGTATGATAGCAGAAGAGAAGGAGAAACAGGGGATAAAGACAGGATAGTTTCTTGCTATTGCAGTTTGGAGCTAGAAGGTATGTGGGGGCAAAGAGAAAGTTAAAATATTTATAGCATTGGTTCCATTTTTATCTGGAAACCAAAAAGGGTAGTCTGGTAGACGCATGGGTCATTTATAATTGGCAGAGTTGGAATGTCCTGAACAGCTTAAGGTAGTAAAATATCTTGCTGGATAAAATGATCTGGAGAGGAGTGTGTCGGGAGACCAGTGGCGCCAAATGCCTCAATAAATGCAGTGTGTCAGCCCCTCCGTCTTTATCATGAAAACATTGGTGCATAGTAATGTGTTTTGGTCTGATGTCATGATCTTCACAACCACTGCATAAACCTGTAAACTAGCAAATATCTTCTGTGGCACAGTATGCTAATAACTATTTATCTTTGCGTTTGCTTATGGGAAGAATAAATACATAAATGATAATACAAGGTGTGAAGAGAAGAAATGAAAATTACTTGTTCCAGCTGAAAATGCAAGCTTTTAACTGGCTTGGAATTTTGCAGTTGTGGTCTGTAGGTATTACTGAACCTTTTAATGTTTGATCTGAAAAATTACATATACAGTTATAACCAACATGCTGGAACATTAATTCATTAATACATGATAAGAAAGAGAACTGTATTCTAAAGTACTGAGAACATCTGCACTGTGAAACCTTCTTCTTTCTCACTGCGCTAGCACTTGTTAGGTTGATACAAACTGAATGTGAAGAGGTATCATTTAAGGAATGGATTAAAACTTTGTATAAACCAATCTGACATACAAATGTGTGCTACTTAGAATCATTTTGGTTGGAAAAGACCCTTAAGATCATCAAGTCCAACCATTAACCTAACACTACCAAGTCCACCACTAAACCAATTAAGGCTCGAGTAATAATTTCATGTTTTCTGGCTTGGTGGCTGGGTTATTTTTTAATGAAAGTAAAAACAAGGAATCATTAATGTTGGAAAGGATCTCTAAGATCATCAGTCCAATCATCAACCCAACACCACCATGCCCACTAAACCATGTCCCAAAGTGCCACTTCTACCTACTTGTGGTGCTTGTGGTGATTTCTTTGAAAAAAAAAAAAAAAAAAAAAAAAGCAATAGTGAGACTTTTTTTTAGTTTTTCTCCATTATTGTTACCAACGTTAAGGTCACTAAGGTTTCCTGGAATGCAGAGCTTTTGTTATACAAGTTAAATGAACTCCCACTTACCTAGGATAGCCATCATTCCATTTGTCTGTATATTTTCTTTCTCTACAACTCCCATTGATCAATATCATTGATTGGTAAGTTTTCTTAGGCTCAGAATATTGATTAATTCTTGTCAGAGTGGCATCTCAGAAAGTTGAGATTGATGCATTTGGTCTGTTAGCCGAAGTCCTCAGCTGTTTGAAGGGGATCTGCTTCTGGGAAGAGTAACTGGTCAGAAGAATACATGATTAACAATATGTAAATATGGAATCTTAAAAACAAAACTTACTGTCCTGGTTTCAGCTGGGATAGAGTTAATTTTCTTCCTAGTAGCAGGCATAGTGCTGTGGTTTGGATTTAGTAGGAGAAGAATGCTGATAACTCACTGGTGTTTTAGTTGTTGCTGAGTACTGCTTATGCTAGTCAAGGACTTTTCAGCTTCCCATGCTCTGCCAGGTGCACAAGAAGCTGGGAGGAGGCACAGCCAGGACAGCTGACCCAACCTGACCAAAGGGCTATTCCATACCATATGACATCATGCTCAGTATATAAAGTGGGGGGAGTTGGCCATGGGGCAGCAATCACTGCTTCGGAACTGGCTGAACATTGGTTAGTGGGTAGGGAGGAAATTCATTGTTCATCACCTGTTTTGTTTATCATCACTTGTTTTGTATATTCTTTTATCATTATTATTATTATTACTTTCTCTTCCTCTGCTGTCCTATTAAACTGCCTTTATCTCCACTCATGGGTTTTACTTTTTTTTTCTGATTCTCTCCCCCATCCCACAAGGGGTGCAGGTATGGGGGGTGAGTGGGTGGCTGTGTGGTGCTTACTTGCTGACTGGGGTTAAACCATGACACTTACCTAGTGTGAGACTAAAATATCTTTCTGCTCTGTACCTCTTTCTGATTTCGTTGTAAGTAAATTAATTTTGCTGGTAACTGGCAAAGATTCTTAAAGCATCATGCAAGAAATAAAGGTTTACCCTTAACTATCAATTTCAGGATGGACTTGTGATATTTAATATCTCATGAAAATATAGGAACTGTTAGAAGATATTGTTTTTTATATAATTGTCCACTACAAGCTGGGCTGCAATTATTTTTATTTCTATCTCTTTGCAAAAAAGGGCAGTTTGTGGAGTTCTTAAATATCGTTGACTTAGACAATGTCAATGTCTTGAGGGTTTATGAACTGTTGCTTACTATACTAAGTACTGCATTTGATGGCACTAACTGAAAACAGTTAAGCATTTAGAAGGCCAGAAACTATCATTCATTGTCACAGACATGATGTGATCCCAGATATAAAAATGATATACAAAAACATTATATTTTACACTTGTGCTTTATATAGCTACATGTATGCAAATAGTTGAAACAAAACTTCATAAATTTCAGTCATATACGTGGCTGCAAAAAGTCATCTACATGAAAATTTGATTCAGTACAGCTGATGTCCAAACATCTCCATAAAAGAATTCCTACAGAGATTTTAGGAAATAAGTTTCCATTTAGCTCGCAAGTTGGATATTCAGACCTTCAGTGTATTTTCTGGTCTTGTGTATTCTGTAGTCTTTTTCATATTCCTTCTACATCATTCCTGTCCAATTATGCCAAATGTGTAATAAAGGATCATATATGACTACTAGTAATCACATCAAGGTGAGAACTGCAAGTCTCTTCTTCCTCTCCTGATTGCATAACATTGTCCTCAGGAGTTTCTAAAGCTAGCCCATGCATGTAATAGACAACACTTTTAAGACAGGGAGGGAATGACTGAAAATCGTTGAAAGTCTGGCACATTTTGACAGCAGGTATCATAAAAATAAACTGCTGTTAAGTAGGTCAATTACTGAGACAGGTTTAATTCTCTTAGATCCAGCTGAATATTTCATGATCAAGGTTTATTCCTGTGCCAAGCTCACAGTAGCTGACCCATGTCGTCTTCTACCCTCAAGCCCCACCAAAGAAGGGAAAGCAACTTTCTAGTTGAGTTGTTCCTGAGAATCCCTTACTGTGCAGAGAGCTAAGATGTAGTAGTTTCTTTGGCCTCCACAGGATTGCTGTGACTTCAGCTCCTGCCTAAAATCAACAGCTGACTTAACTCAGAACCTGTGTGGAAACACTAACTTTGCCTCTGCCTGAAAAATATTGCTCACCCAGTCTGGACATTAATTCAATGCTGTGATTTCAAGCTTTGTCTTTAAGCATATTTTAGTCCTTTTATAATCTGTCCTGTGAAATAATGTGATGACTGACCATCCTTGTCCAGGTTCTGGCCATGCCAGATCTTTCCTGTATTATCCTAGAGATGCAAGACAGACACTGAAGTGGCCAGCTGGGTATTTCCCCAGACTACAGCTAGCACAGCTAACTAGGCATGGCTCTGCATTGCAAAAAATAACAGTATGGCCTGGCTAAGTGAAAGACAAGAGGACAGAACAAACTATGTTAATAGGAACCCATTTAGGAGTTGGGAGAGGGATAGAAAGTTTACCTCCATATCACGATAGAAATATGTAAGACTCATTTTCTGTAACATTATTGTTTGCCAATAAATTCACCTCTGTAAACAGGATAGCAACAACAGAATGTTTAATGAGTTAGAAATCATGCTACAAATAAACCTTGAATTCTTAAAGGATTCATCATCTCCAGTAATTTCCATCTTTAAGAACATGTATTTCCAGAACATGTTGCAAAGTGTTTTATTTCTATTATCGTCAAGCCTGAAACTGCAAGTTGCAAAGATCTCATACAAAAGCATTCTGCATTCTCAATTGCTTGTAATGAGTATTAAAGGAGTTTACTTATTTCAGGGCACCAACCTCTTTCATAAAAGCTGATGTTCATATTCAGAAAAATGTGCTGTTCAAATCAGTGTTACGGAAGTTTAAAACTTGAATGCCATAAGAGTAAGCACAATGCATGAAATAGTCCTTCATGTTTTCCCTCCTGTGTTCATTTTTTTTAGTGCTGGAGTCGGCAGGACTGGCTGTTTCATTGTGATAGATGCCATGTTAGAGAGAATAAAGCATGAAAAGACTGTAGATATTTATGGCCACGTAACTCTAATGAGAGCACAGAGGAATTACATGGTTCAAACTGAGGACCAATACATCTTTATCCATGATGCACTGCTGGAAGCAGTGACATGTGGAAATACCGAAGTGCCAGCCAGAAACCTGTATGCATATATCCAGAAGCTGACACAGATAGAAACAGGCGAGAATGTCACAGGAATGGAACTGGAATTTAAGGTACTGGGATTTTATGATGTGGGGAACCAAAAACAAACAGTGTAACACTTAATGCTGCTCTGTCCTCCACCAGTTATTTCCAGTAATCAAAAGATAAGACATCAGCAGACTAAAATTTGAAATTAGGAAGACAATACTTTGTAAAATGTACAATTCTATCCTCAGTTGGTGTCCAGACAAGCACCATTCAGTGAGGATGTTTTAACCCTGCTGTTCCTTTATTGTTTCAATAGCTTGAAATGTGTGTTTGCATAACAGTTTAATACCCAAATTTGTCTATAGGCATTAATGGAGCAGACATTAAACTTCTATAATGTGTTAGAAGAAGCTTTACAAATATTTAGGTAATGCAATAGAATATGGAAAAGTAAGGATCTGAAATTAAAATTATTCATTAATGGATAATGAGCAAAGATCATCAAATCTGATAGTGTCATTTGGTTTTGTTATACCTGGCCTTAATTCTTTTAATTTATTTTCAACAGCGTCTTGCTAGCTCTAAGGCTCACACTTCAAGATTCATCAGTGCCAATCTTCCATGTAATAAATTCAAAAATCGCCTTGTCAATATTATGCCATATGAGTCTACAAGGGTATGCTTGCAGCCAATCCGAGGAGTAGAAGGCTCTGATTATATTAATGCCAGTTTCATTGATGGATACAGGTACTAATGTTGATGTGTTCTCATGTGGACTGTTTTAAAAGTTTGCAAGATTATTTATGTAATTACATTGAAAATAACAAAATTTAGTATTGAAATTTAGTATTGTTTACTATCTGTGCATGCCATGTTTGGGTGTTTTTTTAAATATTAATAAAAGATTTAGAATTTCACCCATGCAATACAGGAAAATTCTGTAAATGGCGTAGGATTTTAAACGTTGTATTTTTACCTACCTTTAAACCATTGAGAACTCCCAGTGTGTTTTACATGCTGAAAGTTACTGAAATTTTAAGCACATGCATGATCTGGAATCTATTTCTTCACAACTATTCTGTTAAAAAGATACATAGAAATAACAAACAGGAGACACATTCTCTGTGTCAAGGTGATAACCTGTGATCTTGGAACACTGATTAAGACTAAACCTAGCCGCCAAAAGCATTTTATACATAAACAGTTGCGTAGCCCACCAGCATCTTCATGACAACACAGAGCACTATGCCCTCAGCTGACTTAAGCAGCTGGTAGAAAAAGGCATGAAGGAGAAGCGGTATAGTTTCCCTAAGGCAGTTTAGGTGTACCTGAGTATCCGTATCCACAGAGATCATCTTCTAAGCCTCTGCTTATAATTGGAAACAACCTTCATCTCCACTGTCACCCACAAAGGTGTTTCTGTTGATTGAAAGAAGCAAGAACAACATAAACTGGTTATCATCTTATAAAGCTGCTGATCCAGAAGCTTTTGACAGCTTGCTGCTGGCTTCCACTAGTAGGATATTAAGGCCTGGAAATGCAGGGCACTCCATTCCTGAATTTTCTTCCTGCCTTACTTTTGCTGGAGGCATCAGACTGTTGAAAAGGAGTTAATAAAGAAACTGCTTGATGCTATAATTTCTGAACTTAATAGATTGTTAGACAGTTATTTCTACAAAATGAACCAGCACAACTAAGTGTTTCTTAAGTGCTTTTTACAGCACACAAAATTGAGCTATTAGAGTTGCATTAAAATTTAAATAATAATGATAAAGACATACATCATAGTATTAACAGAGTAATTTCCCTCTCAAAGTTCTAAAAATAAAAAAAACATAGTTTGATTAAACAATCGTAATAAGGTTTTAATGTGCTTATTATTAATAGTATATAATTTTTTCCTCTGGATAATGTTTATATATAAACGGAGAACACGTGTATCAATTCACTTTTTTGATTAAATTATTTTTCTTAATTTACTTTTTTTCCAACATAGACAACAAAAAGCTTACATAGCTACACAGGGTCCTTTAGCAGAAACAACTGAAGACTTCTGGAGAATGCTCTGGGAGCATAATTCTACAATTGTGGTCATGCTCACTAAGCTACGAGAAATGGGCAGAGTAAGTACTGCTGTAATATTCCTTTACTAAAATGTTTGTTATAATGATTTTTTATTAAAATATTTGATTGTTATGGGAATGTCTAAAGATAAAGGTGAGGATTTAGGTTCTTTCTCCTTTTGAAATATCGGTGGCATGGTTGATCACCATGTGTAAGGTTTTCCAATCTGTAGATGTGTTGCAATAAACAAGCTAGACATGGCATTTTGTTGTGGGTCACACTGAGATTCAACAGCTGAGTTTGCATGTTGATATTCCAAAGTATGCAGAGAGAGCATTGCTGTCTATTGAAAAACAAAGATTTCTTATTTGGAAACTTCACTTCTGCAGTCTCTGTTTTTAACAATGTTAAAAGAAACTGTGGTATTTTTGAGATCTGAATGTCTTCTGTGTGTTCATAGCGCTGAACTTTAAAGTTTCAGCACCCAGTTCACAGTCCTAAACTATTCAAGTGCTGCTTTGTGTAATGGAAAGAACAAAGCAGTTTACTATTGGGACAGGATTACGTCAAGATAAAGCCGGTATGTGATAAGTGAAATCTGAGTCAGGCCATGTATCTGGGGAATAGAGATGATTCAGGACATGGCTAGTGGATGGAGAGATGGAGTCTTGACTGAGGCCACAGGGACTTCCTTCAACAGAGAAGAAGAAAGAAAACTGAAGGTGGGCTAAAGATTTAAATTCCGTTCTGTATTGAAAATTAGGCTAGGGATAGCTCTCGTCACTGATGAATAATAGAACTGAGCAGAAGTATAAACAAGTTCAGATGTATAGTGACCAGAGAGAACCCCTTTGCAATGCAATACTGAAGATCTCTTTTATTGTAGGTATGGAACTTCATGTTCACAGCAAGGCAAACAGTTCATGTTCCTGTCACTCGTGGTACTTTCCATGAGTATTACATTTATCTGAGTGAAAAAGGTTTCATACCAGTTTATGGTAGTGGTCTGGAGTAACAGGAAATGTATTTTGCTTTGTTATTTTGTAGGAAAAATGCCACCAGTACTGGCCTGCAGAGCGCTCAGCCAGGTATCAGTATTTTGTGGTAGATCCAATGGCAGAATACAACATGCCACAGTATATTCTGCGGGAATTCAAGGTTACAGATGCAAGGGTAAGTTAACATAGCATTACACTAGTTCACGTAGGTTTAAAAGAAACTGTAAATTTCTTCTTTCTTTTCCTTTCTTTTTTTTTTAAGTTTGTATTATTGTTAGAAAAACCCTAGGGGTGTAGTTTCTACAAGCAATAAACAAATGAAAAGCAGATAAATTTATTATTAAATGAATGGAATCTTTGTGTAAGAACAATTAACTAATTCAGATCTGACATTTGGGCAGCACAACTTTGTAAAGTTCTGAATAACTATTTGTGTGGAAATACGTTAGATGATTTGAGGACCATTTTCCCTTTTTTCTTCATTTCTCCCTTGATCATTTTTGGGGACATTTTTTGTCACTTACAGCTGTAAGTATGTTGGTTTGCACCACCCTCTAGGCTGAGTGAGTATGAAGGTTAATACATTGAGATTTAAAAACTGCAGAGCAAATAGCATTTCTAAGAAAAGCTTGACAGGCTTTGCACATTATAATTTGATTTTTGGCATAGCGTATTTTCAGCACTCTTGTATATCTGCAGAGTAGATACATGCAGCTGTGACCCTAGCATCCTCATTTTCATACTGCGTTTCTTATCTGAATTTCTGAGTCCAAAACTGAGCACTAATACAAGATTAAATGTACATAAACTTTAAATATATATTTGCCATTTCTTAGACTTTTGATTTCTAACACTTTAGTCTGCATGGCAGGAAAAATTACTGACAGCCTCCATTTCTGTAAGTGCTGTAGAATACTATTTGTTCAAGCAAAATAGCAGGTTGTACTGTCCAGGAATAACATGAGTGATTACTCAGAGTTGCCAGTCAGCATCCAAAATATTAGACTTTCTCATAGTTAGCTAGACTGCTGCTTTAATGTTAGCTTCAAGTAAAATTAGGTACTACTGACAATTAGCTAGACAGTATTGTCACTAACCAAGTCAGCACATGAACATTTTAATATGGCAAATGAGACGTAGGTTTGTGTTTTGGAAAGAAACTATAGACACACTGGATGTGATTTTCATTCTGTTTGAAATCTTGTAAGGACCTCATGACTCCATAGCTTCTCTAACCCATTTGTGCGTAACAAAAGTGGAGAAGAACAGGCTCCTAACATCCCTCCTTAACCACACTTGTAAGCACAAACAGTCAGAGCCAATTTCACTACAACTATGCTGATAGTTTTCATAGATCATCTATTAAAAATCTGTTCCATCTGAAGCTGGAAAGGGTCTTATGTGACAGAGTTCACCAAGCTCAGATCACAAAATAACTATGATAACAAAAAGCCACAGATGTAGTTGAAGTGTCTGCAAACAGTATGTAATTCCAAGAAGTTCTTTCAAGAGTTTATAATGAACTAGGATATTTATGAAAGTCTGTTTACTTATAGCTAGCAAACCAGTAAAAAGTCTGAAAGGGTTGAATAATTTAATTTGCCAGAAATATTTTTATTGGACCTGATATTAATACAGGTCTTTTAAAAAGAGCCAAGCATATGTGCACCTTGGCAGTCCTGTTGCGACATTTTACCATCACATATCATTGCTTCTCAATTTTTAAAGATGTCTTTACCTTGGTAGTCCAAATTTTGTTAAACAACTCACTGGCAAACTCACAGGGCCATCTTAAATTTTCTAGATGTGCTGGGAAGCTATAGCTCCTTCCAAATTTACTGGAGGAGGTGGGGACTACTTACCAAAATGTACATTATAGTTTTCCTGTAGTTAAGCTTTTATGGCTGTCACACCCAGTAATTAAGACCATCTAACTAAATTGTTGAATTCAAAGAAGAGTAAATGCTGCAGCGGTTGTGACCAGACTCTGTCCCTCTTATCTCCAAACCCACCCGTAATGTTAGAATACCATCCATGCTCTGGTAGAGCCAAGCCAGCCAATTATTCCTCAGGGACAAGGAAAGAAGCACACTGCCTTTGCAGGTATCAGCAGCAAGTGTCTGGTATGGAACTCCCTGTTATTTCTGAAACTGAGCTGTGAATAGTTGTAAGGTGAAATTGACTTCTGTAATTGTTTCAATCTACTGCTTCTGACTGCTTTATACTCACTTGCTCTGTAAACTCCAGAGGTCAATATGTTGGGGCAGTCTCATTTAAGGCTAAACTATTAGTGATGGCTGTAAGAGAGTATTATAAATTCTACAGCCTCATCAAAAGATGGTTGAATATCCCCTGTGAGGAACAAGAAGAAATCCAAATGATCAGCCAGTCAATAGGATGATACATTAAAAGCCCTCCATGCAGGAATCTGAAAGTTTGTATTTTGATAACTAACTGCAAACTCACAATATTTGAAAGTAAAGATTTTAATAAAATTTGGCATTTGTGTTTGGACTGCTATTGGCATGCATCTCATTAAAAGAAAGCAGCACTGTTCATAATGTCAGTAGCAGAGGGAACTGTGTAAGAAATTGCAGATCAGTTCCCAGTATGCTATACTGCTAGTCTAACATCAGACTAACTAACTTTACTTCTGTGCTCATTAAATAACATTAAATAACAGAAGTTATTGCCATTAAAACTAAATCAGAACAGTTTTTACAGCATTCCACTGGATTATTGGGTTGTTATGATCATGAAATATATCAACTCAGTTGATTTAGACACACTTGAAAAGCAAGTATTTACCATTAAATCTATGTTGCACATAGACATTTGTGGTCTTCCCAGTGACAGCCTAGGCTTAAGTAAAGGACCATTTTTCTTAACTTTGCTACCCCTGAAATGTTACTGTTATTCTAGCGTAATTCCTATCAGGGTGAGAAATTACTGAAAAGCTTCCATCTCTTTAACCAACATGTTGCAAGTGAGTCAGACTTAAGGGTTTTTTTCGTTATTTAGAAGAATGGGAGTTTATTTTGGAGGGAATCAACGTATTGTTTTGTCTTCTTGATTAATTAATGTCCTGTGCTTAAGGCTATCTGAAGGATGCAATTTCATTATGTCTTCTTGGAGGAAAATGGGATTACAAAGACCATTATGAGACAAGTCTGCATTAACAAAATGCCATTTTGGTAGGAAATATTTAGTTCTTTGTGCTGATGCCCACAAGAAATAAAATTGGATAAATTTTTTCAAACAGATTTTTTTTTTTAAGTGGTCAAAAATGATCCACAGAAATAGACTACTACATTTTCACAGTAGTCTAGTGGGAATATAAGAGATAATAAGTCAAAGAAGTGTATGTGTGTCCTCTCATGGAGCAGTGGCTGGCACACACACCCATTTTCTGTTTTCCTTACTCATCTGAGACATGGGAGGCAAAACCCTCCAGTACCAAAGGAAACATAAAAGCAAAGTATTGGGTTTTCCTTTGGTTATTTTTAAATCAATTCTATTTCATTTCAAAGGTCTGTAATAGCTGAGTGCTTGTGGTAGAGGAAAAAAAAAAAAAAAGATTGTTCTTGCTTCCGGCATAACTTGTTGCATTTTGGGGGGGATCTCCTATAATCATTTCAATCTTTCATGAGTTTCACTTCGTAGAAGATGCATTTTGAAGACATGGGATGGTGGATGCTTAGGAAACAACATGTCTGGAGACACTAGTTCACATGAGTGGCTCATGCGCCCATGCTTTTATGCCCATGCTTTTAAATATTTCAGCTGTGCAGATTGACAGTGTCAAAATCAACAAGAACAATGTTTGAAAATTCAGAACAAATTTACTTCATCCATTTGTATTGTATTTTTTCTGTTTATCTGTCCTGACTGTTTACATATTAAATAGGCATACAGCAGTTGGCGTTTAATACTTCCAGTGACTTCATTATAAAAATAACCATTCTGCAGCATTCTGGAGTTTTAATCAGTCGTTTCAGTATTCCTAACCAAAGGGAATGAACAGCTTCAGCCGACTTGTTTTGAGAGTCGAAGCCCTTCTTCCCAATTTTTGACTGAGTCCAAGCTGTGAGTGAATTAAATTATGATGATTAAAGGGAGTTTATGGTTTGTTAAACAGCTGGCTTGTCTCAGCATATCTTCTTCCAGGCAAATGTCCACCTCGTAGAAAGCACCATGCTATTAAAGATATCTGCAAAGAGGGCAATGACTAAGCAAGTCTTATCAGTGAAGATATTCCTGCCATACAGTAGACAAGCGTATCTAGGAAATGGAGAGTCAGATTGGATGGCCTTATTCTACCTGTTCTGTATTTAAAGGAATTTGTAGTCCTCAGGATTCAAACTATAACTTACTAAAAAAAACGTATAACCTGGTGAGATTCTTATGTCTTTAGCCTCACTTTTTACACAAGCAGAATGTCAAACAACTCTCCTATCCAGTGCAGAAGGGAATCTATGCAACGTTGTTAGTGAAATTGCACTTCTGAGCCAATGTGTCCAAAAGAACCAGCCAGTACTGTGATTGAAAGTCTTCATAAACGTGATCTTAGCTATTCCCCACCTCCTCTCAATGTCCTTGTGTTGTGATTGTCTTTCTGGTTGTTGGCTGACTGACTTCCAGCTGCTGGAACATGCTTTTGGAATACATTATTTGTGTCTTTTGTTAAAGGATGGCCAGTCCCGAACAGTGAGGCAGTTCCAGTTCACTGACTGGCCAGAACAAGGAGTGCCAAAGTCTGGAGAAGGATTTATTGACTTCATAGGCCAAGTGCATAAAACAAAAGAGCAGTTTGGTCAGGATGGACCAATTTCTGTTCACTGCAGGTAAGTAAACAAAGCCACAAAGTAACTCATATGCAGATTTGTTTTTTCTAAAGTTGGTTGCTGATTGCAGTGAAGGTGTGTATGTAAATGGAATTTCATAGATGAACTATCAGCAAATGAGGTCAGGTAGGAGATCTAAAAAGGAACACACAGGACTGCTTTACAAAACAGGAACTGTTCTGCGATATCCCATTTACACAGAAAAGTTTCTTCTGAAATGTGTGGAAACACGTGATTTTTTCTTCACTTGAAAATGTCTCTAATGCAGGGTAGAAACAATCTGGTCAATGCTACACGCAGAAAGTGGTAGGAAGGCCCTTATCACAGGCTGCTATATCTGATTTTTTTTTTCCACTGGTAATTAAAAGTGAGGCTGTTATATTGGTGGGAATTACTAGCTGTAAACAAGCTAGTTACACCTCAGTAGCACATTAGTAGCAATCAAGAGGAGGAAAATAAAGATGGTAGCTATCTCAAGAAAGGGAATGGAATGCAAAACGGTGTTTAGAAACGTTGCCTGTCAAAAAATCACTGAGGTTTGGATTGGTGAGTTCTAACTTCAGAATATAATGCCCATTTTTTGAATGTGATGACTTCCCCCAGTTCCTTTACAATTGATATACACATGAAAACAGATTGCATGGTGTGTAGGAATAATCCAGGGTGGGCTTTTTTAATATTCCTGTATTTTTTATTTATTTTCTCTACAGTATTCTAGAGTCTATAGCAGATGGCCAAAAATAATATCTTTATCTTTTATCCCTTATTTAATAAATTGTTTTCTATGAATTCCATTAGGATTGTAGATACGCATTTTTGCAATATTAAATTATTTTTTGGTAGATGAAATGTTATTATTTGTATAACAGAAATGCAAAATACTGATACAGGTTCCAAGTCCTTCCTGCAAGCCAAGTAATATCCCAATACTAGCATGAAGACAAATTGAACAAGTTTACTAGAGCACATGAATGTACAGAGGGAGAGAGATTCTTGTCCTTCCAAAGCCAGGAGCAACCATAAGTTGTTAAAAGACCAGTGTGTTTATTTTAATAGTTTCCTTATGCTCCCCTAATCTGAAAGGCTGACAAGATAAATGTATTGGACTACTTGAATCCTACGTTTTTCGTGTGCCTAAAAATTTTTATGGCCTGCTAAGGAGAACAGCATTGCAAAGCAGTGTTTGGGATTCATTTGGCAAGGGAAAATGAGGAACAACTGTGATAAGAACAGGCCTTATTCTTCCTGACATTAATGAGTTTTGAGAGCAGAGGAGTAATGAGCAGTATTTATGCCTTTATGCAAGCATATGTAAGAAAGCAATGTGATGGTATTCTTCTAAGTTCTTTGTACCACACAAACTTGTCCACTTGTGACTGCAATGAAATACTGCTTGCAGTAGGTTATGCATCCCTTCCAAATGGGTGTGATCTTTCATGCTGAAATTATGGAGATTTCTACCATTGACTTTGGTAGAAACAAAGTCAAATCCAGTATAATTCATCATGGTTTGGTCTTTAAATGTCTTATCATCATTGTAACAACAATCTAGAGATTGGTAATACTAATAATCGTTACCAATGTTAGTTAACTTACAGGAATAGGAAATGTCCCTAGCAGATTAGTAAGTTTGTTTGTTTCTTTCAGGAAGCACAAGATCCCTGGGTACCTGCACTTTCCTAGTCTTTGTGGAATTATTGTAATAATGCCTTCAGTTTGTACGGAGAAATTCTTCAAATGACAGACTCCCCTAGTGCCACTTCCCTGAGGTTTCCTTCCCACTCTACACATTTTTCACAAGTTTGCTTTCTCTGTTACACGGTAAACCTCTGCCACCCACAATTTTAAAATGTTCTCTTTCTCTGGCATTTTTACAAATAGATCGGTGTGCCCCAATTTAAAAATTTCTAATCTCATCAGGCAGTTAATTAAAACTAGTTAAAAGAGCAAAAGCCTGTTCACCTTGAAGCAAAATTTTCACTTCAACCAATTTTAAGTATTTATAGTCTTGTTATTCCAGCTTTTAGCTGGAGAGTAAGGAAGACCACCCTTTCCCAGCGTGCATTCAAGTTGTATTTTTAACTACAAACTCTTCTCTCTTACAAAAATATCAATACTTCCTCATGTCTCATTAAAGTATCCTAACTTTGGTTTCTAACTGTTTAAACTTTGGTGAATCATACTACATCATGAAGTAGTGCCTTCACTATTTACTAAATTCAGGATTGTTTCAAACATATGTCACATTGCTTCATTAAATGTCGTGGTAGAACTCAGTTTGCTCTTTGACTTGTACTGAAAGAAATAAGCTATCATCAAAATGCTACTAGTACTTATGTGGACTTCCATCACTCTTTGGAAATTCTAAGCATCTTCTAATAGGAAGTGCTACAATGTTAAAATATGCTTGCCACTTTCAGGGCAACAGGGTCAGTTTCCCACAGACTTTACCAAAATATTACACTTGATGGCTAGTTAGGATTTGCAAGCATTGAGATCTTTCCATATTAGTCTGTCTTCCTCATTAAGTAGCTTCTCCAGATACTTGTTCATTTCTTAAGAACACAAGACAACAAATTAATTCCCTCCTTTTGCTGAATTAAAGAGTCCTGAGTAGTTTTTTTAAAGTAATAAATATTTGACTGATGTGTGAGGCTAGAAGTCCTCATACGTATTTAGAAAAGTCATACATTTTTTGTTGTACACATATCTTTAAATGGTTGAGCAGGAACAGCAGAAAGGAGAATAGAAAATGGTAATTTGTCTTCACACTGCTGGTGACTTTCTGGGCTACTTGGTTTAGATCACACTGTCATCAGCTACATGGAGTCCAAGCAGGTTCCAACAGTATTTTTCCAGGATTTTTTCAGCATGTTTCTTAAATATTAGCTTTCTAATTTACCTCATCAGGGAAAGGAGACCTTACATTCCAGTTGCTCTAGATGTTCAGGACTATTGTCATCACATACAGGTAAAACAGCACTGAGAGCATATTTTGTCAAGTTGTGTCTCAGTTGTGCTTTGGCTTCAGCTCTCCGAAGGCACACAGGTTATGCAAAATTGCTAAATCCAATCACGTGTATTTAATAGCCCTAGAAGTGCGCTGATCTAGACCAAACACTAAAATACCATCATACAATTCTGTTTCTGCACTAGTCTTGTGAATTCACTGGATCTCTGTCACAGTCCATATCAACGGTCAGAGTTCTTCAGTCTTTCCCTGCTGTTCATGTTCTTCCACTCTCCTGTCTGGTGAATAGGTGTCATAAATCTCCAGCTTCCCAAGTCTATCTGACTGGAGAAAACCTTGTGAAAGTATTAGCATCAACAGTGAGATGATGGGGTGCTTAATTTCCACCCATATGAGTTCAGCCATGGAAAATCTTTTTTTCTGTGTAGTTACCGGTCTGTTTGTCCAAGAGTGATCCTCATGAATTAAGTGTTTAATTTTAGTAACTGACAACTATTGGCTCTATTGATTACAGGAATTTATATCACTTCCTGGGGGTTTTAGCTAATAACAGAAACCAAAGACAGAACAGAGAGCAAACAGGCCACATATTCAAAGAAGGCATTTCAAACTAATGTAGACAGACATGGTATATGCATATCAGCATTAGAAAGCTAAAGATCCAGACTGCCAGACTTGAATAAAAGCTGTATCTTAAGATTTTTGTGTATCCATTATTTAAACTGTAGTGTGTATGAACAATTTGGCTGATTTAGTTGACAAGCCACTGTCCGTGGTATTTGAAAAGTCATGACAGTCAGGTGAAGTTCCTGGTGGGGGAACATTGCACCTATTTTTAAAAAGGGTAGAAAAGAGGATCCTGGGAACAAGCGACCTGTTGGCCTCACCTCTGTGCCTGGGAAGATCATGGAACAGATCCTCCTAGAAGCTAAGGCACATGGGGGACAGGGAGGTGATTCAAGATGGTCAGCATGGCTTCACCAAGGGCAAGTCCTGCCTGACCAACATAATGGCCTTCTATGGTAGAGTGACTATATTAGTGGACAATGGAAGAGCTACTGATGTCATCTGTCTGGCCTTCTGTAAGGCCTTTGACATGATCCATGACAACATCCTTCTCTCTAAATTGGAGAGATATGGATTTGATGGGTGGAATCTTCAGTGGATGAGGAATTGGCTGGATGGTCACATCCAGAGGGTCGTGGTCAATGGCTCAGTGTTCACATGGAGACTGGTGACAAGCGGTGTCCCTCAAGGGTTCGTATTGGGACCAGTACTGTTAAATATCTTTATCAACAACATAGGCAGTGGGATCGAGTGCACCATCAGCAAGTTTGCAGACAACATCAAGCTGAGTGGTGCAGTTGACATACCTGAGGGACAGGATGCCATCCAGAGGGACCTGGACAAGCTTGAGAAGTGGACCTGTGTGGACCTCATGAGGTTCAACAAGGCCAAGTGCAAGGTCCTGCACCTGGGATGGGGCAATATATCGATATAGTATCAATATAGACTAGGGGATGAATGGATTGAGAGCAGCTCTGCGAAGAAGGACTTGGGGATACTGGTGGATGAAAAGCTGGACAGGAGCCGACAATGTATGCTTGCAGCGCAGAAGGCCAACCATGTCCTGGGCTGCATCAAAAGAAGCGTGGCCAGCAGGTCAAGTGATTCTGCCACTCTGCTCTGCTCTGGTGGGACCCCACCTAGAGTACTATGTCCAGCTCTGGAGCCCTCAGCACAGAAAAGACTTGGACCTGTTGGAGCAGGTCCAGAGGAGGGCCACAAAAATGATCAGAGGGATGGAACACCTCTCCCATGAAGAAAGGTTGGGAGAGTTAGGGTTGTTCAGCCTGGAGAAGAGAAGGCTCCGGGGAGACCTTATAGCATCCTTTCAATACTTAAAGGGGGCTTAGAAGAAAATTGGGGACAAACTTTTTAGTAGGGCCTGTTGCGATAGGACAAGGGGTAGTGCTTTTAAACTAAAATAGGGTAGATTTAGACTAGATATAAGGAAGACAGTTTTTTACAGTGAGGGTGGTGAAACACTGGAACAGGTTGCCCAGAGAGGTGCTAGATTCCCCATCCCTGGAAACATTCCAGGTCAGGCTGGACAGGGCTCTGAGCAACCTGATCTAGTTGGAGATGTCCCTGCTTATTGAAGGGGGCGTGGACTAGATGACCTTTCAAGGTCCCTTCAAACCCAAACTATTCCATGATGCTATGAATTTCAGTATTCATTGAAAATCCACTGACTAATTCAAAGTAGAAGATAAACTAACACACTGAAGATGTGCAAAACAGGGCATAAACATGAACAAGCTAAAATAGAGCAAACAGTAAAATACCTTTTGGGACGTTTTTCTCTTGTCAATTCCAGCATAGGTCATTGGCAACAAATGTTCTCATTTGCTTTCACCATGCACTGGTTACTGTATTTCTGGATGAACAAACCAAGCCACTTTGGAATGAAGACTGGAGAGTCAGGATGTACTTAGCAGCATGTGAAGTTTGCTTGAGCACAATTATTCTTCCCAGTGCAATGTGGTAGTTTGCTGTGGAATTTTGCTTAGTGAGCCTTTCTCCATATAGAAACTTGTACACATATGATGTGTTGTAACCACAGATAATTTGTCAGCCAATTCTTTCAGCATTAACTGTCAGTTAACATTCCTCTTTTCCTTCCTTTTTTTTTCCTTTTATTGCAACAGTGCGGGTGTTGGAAGGACTGGAGTATTCATAACCCTGAGCATTGTGTTAGAAAGAATGAGATATGAAGGTGTTGTAGATATCTTCCAGACTGTCAAAATGTTAAGGACACAGCGGCCAGCCATGGTACAGACAGAGGTGAGCAAAACAGTATCCATATACGATGGTGATGGAAAAGAAGGGGTATTTCCGCAGCCAAAAATTGCACAGATATAGACTGTATAAAATGTTACATTTTATATCTTAAGTCATATAGTGACTACATGACTATAGTGTAAAATATGCTATAAAGGTACTTCAAGGACTATTTCCTGTTATAGCAGTAGGCACTGCAGGTTGGGGAAGGAGAAAATTATTTCAGTAGTGGATGCTAAATTATGGTAGTTGAGGAAAACCATTTTCCAAGAAGTATTACCCATTTTTATTTGAACCTTTGTTTCCTGGCAGAAATGTATGGTAATAAAGCAGGAGGCAAATTGTTTCTGCAGGTGGATCCACCAATTTTTTTTTTGTTCCAGGAGCAAAATGTTGTTCATGGCTTCAGACTGACACTGTATTATTTTCATGGTTTTCTTGACTTCGTGTCACCAAGCAAGTGGCTGCTTGGCCTGAATATCATAATGGTAAATTCAGCGTTCAGGAAAACTATAGTGTAAATAATTTCTGTGCTAGCAAGTGTGCCATGGAGAAATAAGGAAAGGGATAAGCAGTAGCAACTGATTTCCTGGGCCTGGGTGCTTGGAACTGTGTCATGTCATAAAGAATACTTAAACATTTTCAGTTGTGCTTAATTTCTACTTAAATTTCTGAACAGGAGACTTGAACTAAGCCAGAGCCAATAGGTTAGGAGAACCAAGCAAAAGGGCAAGAGAAGGGAAACATTTTAGGTCATATATTTATTTGGTATAATTTGATTGACACTGCCCTTTAAATTACAGTCTGTGAAATTTAAAATGGTTCTCTAGAGTTTGCCATTTCCCACAAGAAAATTGAACTTGTTTAATAAAAGCCTGGGTTGCCTTATTTTTAAGAAGACAACCTCATAAAAAATTAAATGAAAAATAAAGATACTTATTTTTAATCTTGTCAGTTAGCCAAGTAAATCACTGTCACCAAACTGAAGACTTAATTCCATTTCTTTTCCATTACCATCTTCTTCTGGATAAATAAAATGAAAAATGACTGCTTTCTGTCATTTTGGTTCCAAGAAATAACTACAGTATACAGAAAAACCATGCTTCTTGGAGCCTACCTGACAAATACAGACTTCATCTATGCAATATATTCTCCCTCCTACTTTATTTCTCTATGCTACCCTTCATCCCCCCTGCTGAAAGTAGACATGTTGTGTACTCACTTTTTCAGAATTCTGTGGGAAACAAATCTCTCATTTAGTAGTATAAACTGCCAGGAAATCTAATCCTTATTCAACAAAGCACTTGTGGACCACATATACACTTAAAATTTAGGCATATGTCTAATGCATTCTCCCACCGTTCCAACAGGAAGCAGAAGAGAACTATTAGTGATCATGCTACTACATTGAAGCAAATATCTGATGAGTTTCCTGGTGTCCAAAAGAATTCTAATTGTGATCTTAACAAGTATAACCCGTGTGGGGTTACCACATAGCACTATCAGATAAATAAGCAGACTGTCTTGGTACTTTGGATGGCTTTCAGAAGCAATTTCTTTTCTTTTTTTTTTTCCTTTAACATTTAAACTCTGAGTGGCAGTTGCAAATGAGTACACAGATGTGGCATTTTACTATGAGTGCAATATTATGTAAAAGTGCAAAAGGACAATTGTGTGGGGGTGAGAATAACATGAAATGCCAAATGTTGGATTCACCACAGGTGTAAGCAAATCTCTCACCACACTGAACTTTTTTCTGCTTCCAGGTGTAGGTTGAAATACATACATTCTGTTTCATGTTAATCAGCTGTTTTAGCTGCATATTTCTCTCTTAGGCCATTTCTTGCCACAGGCTAAGTTATCTTCACATCTTCATCAAAGCCTGTGTTACTGAAAGGTTGGGATTCCTTTTGCTTCCTTAACATGATTTTTAACCTGGTGGTTTTCCATATAGCATTCCATATTAAGGCTGTGATGGATTTTGTCACTTAGTGTGTTGCATCTACTATAGAGTTAATTGCATATTTTGCTATTCATTTTCAAATACATGGGGGAAAAGCATCTTAGCATGTTCACATAACATCAGCTTTATGCTGATGTTATATTAATCCAGAATAACAAACTGTCAATAGGTGGGTATATAGTCTCTGCACAAAAAGAAGCTGCATTCTGTGGGAAATGTTATTGCATTTAATGAGTGTCTATCTTCATCTGTTCTAACTCAGACTGGTTTTCTGTTGATGTCAGCAAGAGAATATTGCTGAACTGTGGATGCCTCTGTGGTATATTTGTCTGTAGCCACAAAGTATTCACTCTTAGTTGAAAGAAAAGAGAAACCAACCAATAAGCTGGCTTTTTGATGCTTCTCTTTTCTATCTTTCTTTCTCCAGGATCAATACCAGTTCTGCTATCGAGCCGCACTGGAATATCTGGGCAGCTTTGATCACTATGCAACATAAAAACCCATCATGGATTTTTATTGCAGGCCCTTTCAGATCCAGAGAGCCGCTTCTGAGCCATACGATGTGCTTTAGAAGTACTTCTTAACTCTTAGCTAAGGAGCGATTATTGGGGATATATAAAATAAAAAACAAACAAACAAAAGTAATGGGGATATGTAAAACAAAAACAACAAAAAAACCCTATTCCATGTGGACCAAGAATTCACAGTTTAATAACCTAACCATAATAAAAGAATCCTGACCACTGAGGCGTCTGAAGGATCTCATTTACAGATACCTCAAGGGTTCGACATAGGTTGAAGTTAAAGGGAAGAGGAAATTAATCAGAGAGAATGATCATCTTGTTCAGGATTGCATGCTTTTGCAAAGAGGAATTTTGAGAGAACTGCAGTTCAGTGCAAGATGTTTGTTAAAAGGTTGAGTCCTGGCTTCTCAAACAAAGCGGACTCTTTACTTCAACATCACCCCTTCCCATCATACTGCTCATCATAACACTTTAGGGGAAATGTGGGAATGTTTAAAAAGAAAGTCCTTGATTTAGTTTTTTAGTATTGTAAAGATACTGCTGACCTGTGCTTCATTTTTAACTGTGTAAACTTTTTCCTTTTTTTAACAAGAGTTTATCATTCAATGAAGTGAATTAAAGAAAAGGTTGCATAACTGTTAATCTTTTTGTTTAAAAACTGTAGATTTTTTTAAGCTGTAGAACTGTTATCTGTAATATCGTGCTGTAGAAATGTTAAATAATTTGAAAATTTGCACATTTTTGTGCAGTCCTGTATTTATCTACAGTACCACAGTCTTGTTAGATATTACTTTTACAGTTTTGTTTGTTTTATTTTTCTTTAAGAAAATATTCATTGTAATCAGTTAAATCAAAATGGGATTTTTTGGTTTCTTTTGGAATCAACAGGGAGGCGCAAAGTATAAAGATGCTGCTAACACACACACACACACACACATATGCACATGCACACCCACACCCTCTCTTTCTATATATGTAAGTATATGTATGTATTACTGTCTACCCTTGTCTAACTCTCTGTATAGTTACAGAGACACACATAGGTAGATATTCACACACATACACATAAACATATCAATTCTTCCATACCTGGATTTATCGAAGCATTGAGAAAGTTTTTCAGCATACTACAATTATATTAAACTACTATTTGATCATCTCTGCATTTCCAAGGTCCATAAACTTCTGTTTCACAGGGAAGTGAGGAATGCACATCACTGATATTTGAACATCATCTGTATCCCAAATAATATTTCTATCCACATTGCCACTTGAACACACACACACACATGCACACGCACATATGCACACACATGCACACACACACACAGATTATGTGATTTAGGCTTCCAGTGAGGTTCAATATTTGTAACACTATAGTGCAATAAGAAATCATATTATTAAATGTAGGAGGTGTGCATGTGGGAAAGGTCAGTGCATATCCCTTTAGGAGGGGAGAATGTTGTAATATACTAGGTATTAAGACATTTTAAAATTGTATTCAATAGTATACTGTCTATAGTGTGCGCTATATAATTTACATTTATTGTATGTAACAGGGCAAAGCCAAACACACATTGCTCTGTGAAATCAAATGTTTTGTGGCATACAGCATTGTTTGGGGATGCTGGGTTTTATTTTAATTTTACATTTAGAGTGCCTTATATTTGATGCCTATTTTGAATAGCATTTCTTTAAGTTAGCCTTCATTTGTATTTAGTTCAGTTTGTTCATATCTCTGTTACTCTTTTCAAACATTTTAAGACATGTACCAGACAATTTTGAAAAATATGCATTTCCAGTTTCTAATCAAGTATGGATGGTAATAAATGATAAACCAAAACACGTAGGTAGTCAAGGCCCTTTATCTTTCCATATTTCCAATAACAGACCAGACCACAAATTAAAAATCTATTTCTCGTTGGCTTTTCAAACCCACTCTGTCACTGGTTACAGTGTTATCATTGCAGAGATGTAGCAGTACACTAGCAGTAGTTGACATTAGCAGTGCTCATGCATCTTTTATTTTCTTTATTTTGGGTGAAGTCCTGCTCATTCACTTGTGTCAACAGATTGCTAACACCCAACCATTGCTTTCAGTGGGAGGGTTCATGTAAGGCTAGCAAGACTGAGCCCACAGGATATATTTGAGAATGTCACTAGATTTTCCTCCAGGGAACAAAGAAAATTCTGTAAACAGCACAAAGTACTTTCTGATGAAGGATATAAGTAAATATGTAGGAAATAAATAAATAAATAAATAGGATGCCATTTACATTGATCCTGGTTTCCATCATGCCTTCTGCCATTGTCAGTACATGAGTATCAAAGGAAGTCTTTCTTCGGGGTTTCAAATAGGAGCATTGGTATGGCTTGTCAATGTGACCTCAAATTTTTTTCTTCTTCTTCCACTTTTCCCACTACTAGCAGAAAGAAAAGTATGAAAGACCAAACTCTAGCAAGCGTTGTATTTGAGCACTTTTGTAAAAAAAAAAAAAAAAAACACAAAAAAAAATCA